GACAGAGACACAGCGAGACAGGGAACACAAGCAGGGGGAATGGGAGAGGGAGAAGCAGGCTTCCCGCTGAGCAGGAAGCCCAACATGGGGCTCAATCCCAGGACCCTGGGTTCATGACCTGAGCTGAAGGCAAACATTTAATGACTGAGCCACCCAGGTGCCCCACAAGTCTAGCATTTAAATTGATGACCAAAAAACACCCCCCAATATATTCTATTGTTTTAGCTAATATTGTAAAAAAAAAAAAAAAATACACTGAAAAACTCATCAGAAAAAAAAGGAGTTGGAAATGAGCTCTAATCTTGTATTAAGTGAATACATGTTTAGTGACTTAAATTGCAAAACACCCAATTCTAAAACTTCCATTCCATGAAACTGGTAACTCCTAAAATGTGCCCAACACCATGTGGAAAGTTGGAGAGAGGATGATGTGCAAAAGCAGATATCCTTGCTCTTACAGGATTTACAGTCTAGAGGGCAGAAAGATATTATTTTATAAAATTACATACATTAGGGGCACTTGGGTGGCTCAGCTAATGGTTAAATGTCTGCCTTCAGCTCAGGTCACAATCCCAGGGTCCTGGGATTAAGCCCCACATTGGTCTCCCTGTTCAGCGAGGAGTCTGCTTCACCCTCTCCCTCTGCCCCTCCACCTGCTCGTGTACTCGCTTGCTCTCTGTCTCAAATAAATAAAATCTTTAAAAAATAAAAAATAAATAAAAATTTAAAAATTACATACATTAAACCAGGGATATCTGGGTGGGAGAGAGGGTGACAAATATCCTTCTGACCTCTACTCTATTTGGGAAAAAGTGAACATTACATTACAAAAATATTACCAAAAATAAAATTAGTAAAACTACAGTTTCTAAATGCCTTGGCAAACTGATCCAAATAATCAAAAAACACAACTAATTAAAAGTGGGAGTCATGGGGCAGCTGGATGGCTCAGCTGGTTAAACAGCCGACTTTCGGCTCAGGTCATGATCTCAGGGTCATGGGATGGAGCCCCATGTTGGGCTCTGCCCTCAGTGTGGAGTCTGCTTGTCCCTCTCCCTCCGCTCCCTGCCAGAGCATGCGCACACACACACTCTCTCTCTCAAATAAATAAAATTTTTTTAAAAAGTGGCAGTCATGAGGAGCACCAGCCTAGCTCAGTCAGTAGAGCATGGGACTCTTAATCTTGGGGTTGTGAATTTGAGCCCCACACTGGGTATAGAGATTACTAAAAAAAAAAAAAATTAAAAAATTAAATCTTTAACAAAAAAAAGTAGGAGTCATGATTTGCCTTTAGCCTTATTACATACTAATGAGATGAAGATATGCCAGTTTATTTCTTTTTAAGATTTTATTTATTTATTTGAGAGAAGAGAGAATGAGAGAGAGCATGAGAGGGGGTTGGGTCAGAGGGAGCAGCAGACTCCCCACTGAGCAGGGAGCCCGATGCAGACTCGATGCGGAACTCGATCCCAGGACTCCAGGATCATGACCCGAGCCAAAGGCAGTCGCCCAACCAACTGAGCCACCCAGGCGCCCAAGATATGCCAGTTTAAATAGTCTTGCAGTTCCACTGTCAATTTTTGCAAAGAAAATATGTGTACACAAATCTATACAGACTTAGAAAAACCTGCCTAGACAACCTTTAGATTGTAATGCAATGTAACAATCTACCACAGAAAAATATGTCTTGGTGTGTCAGAAATTATGTAATATAATGACACCATAAAATACCATAGGAAGTTACAGAAAAATGGAAAAGGTAACTATTCAGTCTTCTGATTACCTAAAAAATATCTGAATATTCAACTGAACTGTAATATGTAATTTAAGAAAGCTACATTGGAAGGTATAGGCTTCCAGTTATGGAATGAGTAAGTCATACAGATGAAAGGTACAGCCTAGGAAATATAGTCAGTGGTGTTGTAATAGGGTTGTATGGTGACAGATGGTAGCTACACTTGCAGTAAGAACAGCAAGTAGAGAAGTCCAATCAGTACTGTTGTATACCGGAAATTAATTTAACATTGTGTCAACTACAATTTTAAAAAGCTACACAAACAAGTGCCTGGGTGTCTCAGTCAGTTAAGCATCTAACTCTTGATTTCAGCTCCAGTCATGATCTCAGGGTCACGAGATGCAGCCCCTCGCAGGACTCTGTGCTCACCTGGAAGTCTGCTGGAGATTCTCTCTACCCCTCTTCCTCTGTCATTCCCCTGGCTCACACTCAGGTGCACTTGCGCAAGCTCACTCACTCACTCTCTCCCTCCCTCCCCAAAATAAATAAATAAATATTAAAAAAATAAAAATAAAAAGCTACATTAAATCTACAGTATGAGTATGTAAGGAGCAATAACTGCCCTGAAAGAGTTAACCAATAAAATCAGATTTCAGCACTGAACTTTTTTTTTCACCTTCTAGAAAAATACCCTCTCCAATTTTCCACCGCATCCCTACTGTTTTTATTATTAGTGGGATGAACAACAAAGAAACCCAGTACAGGCCATCAGCCATTTTACTGAGACTAATTCTATAAAAGCTTTAGAAATAGGGATTATAAAGACTTTCAAAATTGTATCTTCAAAAGGCTATTTGTAGTCTTAGGATTTCCTTTTCTAAGTGAATCCTCAATTGGCTCTGGGCAACGTGTATACAGACTGTTTTCTTTTACATTCCCAAGGACACAATTTAGAAAGTGTGCAACAAATGTCTGTTGGACATGATCAAATCAAGAGTGACAAATTTTTTTATACTACATAGCAGTGGCTAACTTCCTTTAGTATTTCAAAATTATCACAACTACACTTATATATAAACTTACAAGCATATTTGCAGGATTTGCCATTTAAAGCTCATGTAAAATTGCAATTTATAGATTATAAGAAAAAGCCATAGCCAGATGACTTTTTTTTTCCCCTAAGGATACAGAAGTTTACTGAATACACTGCAAGAGAGCAGCAGGCAGGACAGGAGAGGAGAGGCTGTCTGCAACCATGAGACATCTTAAGGGGTTTTTTTTGCCTTAAAGTGAAAGTCTTATAATCATTTCATCCTCAGTGTAAATGTTACTAAATAGCCTAGAATCAAATAAAGTTTACATAATCTGTTACCACAAATATGAGAAAGAGGGGTGCCTGAGTGGCTCAGTCGTTAAGCGTCTGCCTTCAGCTCAGATCATGATCCCAGGGTCCTGGGATCGAGCCCTGCATCGGGCTCCCTGCTCGGCGGGAAGCCTGCTTCTCCCTCTCCCACTCCCCCTACTTGTGTTCCCCCTCTCGCTGTGTCTCTCTCTCTCAAATAAATAAATAAAATCTTAAAAAAAAAAAATATGAGAAAGAACAATTCATTCGACTTAACACCATTACTGTGCTGACACTTATTCTTGCTTCTGCCTACATACCTGCCTACTCAGACATTTTTAACAGTCTTTTAGAGCCTTCTTTGTAAAGAAAACACTAGTCTTCTCTAAAAACAATGTAAATTAGGTATTTGAGTCACTGGCTAGTTTCCTGAACTTCACAAAAATCTTAGGTTACAATGGGCAATTTAAGTATATTAGTTTTATTCTACTAGTTTTGTTTCGATGAGCCAAAGATTTATTGGTAAATCAGTAATCTGGAAGGTACTGGGAAAAATCTTTCTCTAATATAGTAAGTTTAGCAAATCGCAACGTAGGACAATTTAAAGACTCCTAGAAGAGGCATAAAACTCTCACACCAAGTGAGAAAGTGTAGTGCCACATGTACACTCTCGACGGAGGTTCAGAGCTATATCCAACCACTTTTCCAAGTGAGTAAAGACCTCCGGAAATCAAACAGGAGATCGTCCCCTATTATTTGGTTCTTCAAAGGTGAAAAACTGAACAGGTGGCCTAAGTACAATTCGCGTAAGGTTCTGGGAGACACGAGCAGGCCTTAAAGGGGACTGCCAAAAGCACAATCATTCATTTATCTCCACAAATTCAGACTGGGTACCCCCCCACCCCACCCCACCCCACCCCACCTCAGGCCCTGTGGAACTGAAATCAATCAGTCCCTGAGCTCTGCTCTCTGGAAGACAGGCTGAAGTGGCAAGGAGGGGGAAAGCACATAAACAGGCACTATGAGTCTTGCACGCGAGTACTGAGGTATGCACCGAATCTGTATCTTTCACCCATGTATACCCAGCGTGTCTTATTCAGCAAGCGCTCATTAATTGTTCACTGAACCCATGAATAAATAAATATGAGACACTTAAGACGAGCTCGGAGTTGCGGCTGCATATTCGCGGCGGTCTCCTTGGCCCAGGCGCCCACCACCACCCGCTCATTTGCCCGGCCGGGAGTTCACCCTCTCCTGTCGCCACAGGCAACGGCAATAACCAAAGGTCAGCTTGAGCCCGGGCCCAGGCCACGCCAGCCGCCCGCCCCCGGGCGGTACTTACCGTTGGTGTAGAGAGACCCCGAGGCCGAGGAGGCCCCGTTCTGGGCCTGCAGGCCGGCTGGGGCGCCGCCGGAGGCCGGTATCCCCGGCTGGGACATGACGACGGTGCGCGTCGGGGTTGGAAGGGAATGGTCGGGGTCTGCGACAGCGCCAAACGAAGAGCTGAGAGACGACTGCTAGAAGCGGAGGGAAGGAACCACCGACTCAGGACTGAGGCGAGGAGGAGAGAGGGCGGCGCATCATGCCCTAGGCATGGCGCGGCATTCTTCCCAGCCCGCGAGCGGCCACGGCTTGGCTTGGGAGCTGAGGCTTGGAAGTCGGACCGGTGGGGCCGAGAACGCCGGGCTGGACGGCGGCAGCCTAACGAGAGAGAAGAGAGGCCCCGGCCGGAAGTGCCTGTCAGCCGCTGGCCGCGCAGGCGCAATCGGGACACGTGGCACTTCCGGCTCCGGGCTCGCCGCCGCTACCGCGGTCGCGACGCTCTCTTCTCCCCTCGGAGCGGCCCAGAGGCCACCTGACAGCTCCGGGTGTCCCAGCCCGAAGGACCGTGCTCGACCTCGCCTGCCACGTCACTGAGTCTTACCGTCGGCCGGAAGTGGCGTGTGTCACTGCTACGGAAATCCCCGCCGTAATGAACGTCATCTCGCGGGCAGGGCCAGAATCTGAGGGCAGGCAGGGCTTCAGTAGCCACTTTCGAGGGGTGGGACTGACAGTTCCGCTCCTGGCGTTTGTGAAGATTACCTGAGACGACAGACGTCATCGTCCTCTCTTGAGACTATACCTCTGGTAGCCGAACTGATGAATATTCATCGCAGTATTTCATTTCACATTTCATCATATTCCAGGTGTAAACTGTAGGGTTTTGTTTTGTTTTTAAAGGGGTTATTATGTACGTGTGTTAAAAGTGTAATCAAATCGAGGAGGAAGCCTTTGTTTTTTGACTGGACGACTCAGAACTAATTTTAATTTTGAAACTCGCTGATTCATAGCATAGTCACGCGAAAGTTCATTAACATCACGTTGAACAGCAGGTTTAAATGGCAGTTTTAGTTCCTCTTCTAAGAGTTTACAGTAAGGTGAAACATTCAAACTTCCTTTCTGGGCAAGTAGACTTTTTTTTTTTCCAAGTAGACTTTTTTTTTTTACTTTTGAGGCTAAGGGGAGGTAGAAACCGGAGTGATAGGATAGTACAGTTAATTGATGATCTCCTTAACCATTTTAGCTACCTTCATTCTACTTAGGTTTTTCCTGCCCTGAGCTGACGACAAAGTTCTTCTTTAAACTGAAGATTTGTTCTGTTGATTGAAACATCATGCCAAGGGTGCCTGGGTTGCTCAGTCAGTTAAGTGTCTGCCTTTGGCTCAAGTCATGATCCCAAGGTCCTGGGATTGAGCTCCATATCGGACTCCCTTCTCAAGGGGGAGTCTGCTTCTCCCTCTCCCTCTGCCTCTCCTCCCTACTTGTGTTTTCTCTCTCTCTCTCAAGTAAACAAATCTTTTTTATTTTTATTTTTTTTAAGATTTTATTTATTTGAGAGAGAGAGTGAGAGAGAGAGAGCACAAGAGGGGGGAGCGGGAGAGGGAGAAGCAGGCTCCCTGCCAAGCAGGGAGCCCGATGCGGGACTCGATCCAGGGACTCCAGGATCATGACCTGAGCCGAAGGCAGTCGCTTAACCAACTGAGCCACCCAGGCGCCCAACAAATCTTTTTTAAAAAATGTCATGGGAAAGGTTTTGCAACTGGTGAAGGGTGAAGTAGATCTTAATTCATTTAATATCAAATACCTACTATGAAATACTGTATTTATACTGTATAATGTTATATTACATAATCATTAGAGTAAGAGTTAAACCACTGTGTCAGACCTGAAAGGCAAACAGTAAAAATCAAATAACTAAGGGTTAAATTTTATCCTAACCCTGTTTTTATCATTTGCCTCAGAACCTTACTGAAAATGTATTTGCCCTTTTGGTGTTAAACAATTAAACTCCTTTGCACAAGATACAAGTACAAAGGTTTCTTTAGGATGAAGATGATACTTTTTTTTTTTAAGATTTTATTTATTTATTTGACAGAGAGAGACACAGTGAGGGAGGGAACACAAGCAGGGGGAGTGGGAGAGGGAGAAGCAGGCTTCCCGCGGAGCAGGGAGCCCGATGTGGGGCTCGATCCCAGGACCCTGGGATCATGACCTGAGCCAAAGGCAAACGCTTAGCAACTGAGCCACCCAGGTGCCCCTGAAAGATGATACTTTTAGTCAAACTGTTTCCCTATAACAAAATCCCAAATCATATATCCCAAGAACACTTAAAAATATAAGCAACACAAGCCTCTAAATGTTTTAAAAGAAAACAGACCTCAGAAAGAAACTAACTTCCTGAGAGGTCAGACAGAAAATCACTGTCACTCTTCAAAGGGGAAGATGCTTAAACCTGGTCTCAAACTTGCCGTAGTTTAATTTTTTTTTCTTTTTTTTTTTAATGCAACTCCTTAATTGGTTTATTGACCTTGGCACAGGAGTTTGATTTGGTTAAATCAAGCTTTCTTTGGACTTTGTTCTGTTGAAGCAATATCTGTGTGTTCAGAGGGGGAAAAAACTAATAGGATTAGCCATTTTAAAACATAAATCATGGGGTGCCTAGGTGGCTCAGATGGTTACGTGTCTGCCTTCGGCTCAGGTCATGATCCAGATCCCGTGGTCCTGGCTGGGATCGAGCCACCTGTCCAGCTCCCTGCTCTGCAGGAAGCCTACTTCTCCCTCTATCGCTCCCCCTGCTTGTGTTCTCTCTCTGGCTGTCTATCAAATAAATAAAATCTTTAAAAAGAAAACAAAAACTGTCTTTAAAAAAATAAATAAGGTTAAATAATAATATGCTAGTAAGTAAATACTGCTTTTTATAAAATTTGTCACCTCCTCCCTCCCCCACCCAGTGTTGTTATTATTCCCCAAAAAACTATGGTTAAGTCTTTTCAGGTGTTTTTTACATTTTCAACATAGTTTTAAAATATTGAGGAGAAAAGCAGCATTTGTCATCTGCCCACCCTCAGAGACAATAGGAAATTAAGTTTAAGGAATTGAGGTGAGACAGCATAGTTAAAAACTTAATTGTCTTTTTAAGTGTCATCCACACATTGTCAAATCCTTCTCTGACTTCTTGAAGTGTGACTACCTATCAAGGAAAAATTATTAGTGCTATTACCAGTTGTTAAGGGTATTGATCTTTTTTAGTTAACTACCTGTATCTATCCTACAGTACCATACATTTTTCTAAACTAATGTCAATAATATATTCTACCTTTTTATCCTTGTTTTCCAGAACAACAGGACCCTTCTGCCACAGATACACCCTTCATATGTGTATGTATCAGATTTTCTGTACATTATTTTCAAAGCCTTCAACCCTACTTAAGATCATAAACAAATAAAAAAACAAATGACACTCCAGAGTCTCAGCAAGGAGACAGCACTATACAAAGAATGGTCCATTAAAGTTGATTATTTATTTTAGACCCAAAGAGGTAGACAGGCATTCCTAATAATATTTGCTGACATGCAGAAGTAGACTCAGGCTCACACACTAGGGCCCCTTTGCCTGCCTGCTCATCACTGTTGAATTGTCAGCTGATAAACTGGAACAATTCTGTTTACTTTTCAGAATGGGAGAATTATTTTAGGTCCTTTAATCATTTAAAAATGTGTTCTAGGGGCGCCTGGGTGGCTCAGTCATTAGGTGTCTGCCTTTGGCTCAGGTCATGATCCCAGGGTCCTGGGATCAAGCCCCACATCGGGCTCCCTGCTCGGCGGGAAGCCTGCTTCTCCCTCTCCCACTCTCCCTGCCTGTGTTCCCTCTCTCGCTGTGTCTCTGTCAAATAAATAAATAAAATCTTTTTAAAAAAATAAAAATAAATAAAAATGTGTTCTATTTCAAACCAAAAAAAAAAAAAAAAGGTTTCAATTACAAACAACAGGTTTGTTCTGAAACTCTTGTGACTCCATTTTAAGAACAGTTCCTTAGGCCTCATTTGCCTCTGGCAGGACATCTGTTTATATCTAAAGTCAGTAGCTCCAAAGCTACATCACAAGAACACTCCTCTCACACCAAGCCAGCAAATTCCATGTTTTCTTTGAAAACTTTTCATCTTTATGTAGTTCTTGCCATTCTCACCACCCACTGGTTAATTTTCATCATCTTGCAGTGGAACTCCTGGGATAGCCTTTCTGGTTTGCCTCTCTCCAATCCATCCTACATGTTGAACTGAGCTCCTAAATACTTATTCTGTCTTTATTTTCCTTTACCCCAACACCTGTAATTGCTCCCTGTGCCTGTTCCATCAAGTTTCTCTGCATGGCTTTTCTCATCTCGCACTGAGTAAAATCCAAAGTCCTACTCAACCTTTGAAGTCCCACATGACCTAGCCCTACTACCTCTCTTCATCTTCCATACTCTCTCACTCACTCCACTGCACACACACTTGCTGTTTCTCTACCTACCCAACCACAAGCCTGCCGTTTATGCTTGCTTACTTCTTATCCCTCAGTGCTCTTCCCCAAGATACACAGGTGGCTCAATCTCTCACCCCTTCAGCCTTTATTCAGGTTAACTTATTGTTTACCCCTTCTCTGAACACCCCATACAATAGCTTACCCTCCCTGCTCACTCTAACCCTCTTATCTTGCTTATTACTTTTTTTCATAGCACTTCTCATCATTGTTAAGTGCTTAGGGCTATGTTTACCTTTCTTCAGTGGGATAAAATTCTATACATATCCTGCCCATTCTAAGGTATTTTTTTTTATTTCATATGTGTCTCATTGTTTAGACTGTCAGAGAGTAGAGACCAAGGATCTGTCCTTTTCACATCTGTATTCTTAGCACTTGACTTGGGGCCTCACCTTTAACAGGTGTTCGTTAAATGTTTTTGAATGAATGAATTTAAAGTGTCATCTTTTCCCATCTTCTGACTATTTTGCCTCTCATCAATTCACTACTACAAGTTCATATTTCAAGTATAGCTAAGCCACATTACTAGCACTTGTTTCTAAATTATGTCTTTAATTCTTTTAGGTTCTTTTTTTTTTAGATTTTTTTAGGGGCGCCTGGGTGGCTCAGTCGTTAAGCGTCTGCCTTCGGCTCAGGTCATGATTCCAGGACCCTGGGATCGAGCCCCGCATCAGGCTCCCTGCTCTGCAGGGAGTATGCTTCTCCCTCTTCTGCTCCCCCTGCTTGTGTTCCTCTCTCTCTGTGTCTCTCTGTGTCAAATAAATAAATAAATAAATCTTTAAAAAAAAAAAGATTTTTAAAAATTTATTTGACAGAACGAGCACAAGTGGGGGGAGAGGAGGGGAGTAGCAGAGGGAGAGGGAGAAGCAGGCTCCCCACTGAGCAGGGAGCTCGATCCCGACTCTGGGATCATGACCTGAGCCAAAGGCCGATGCTTAACCAACTGAGCCATCCAGGCGCCCCTAATTCTTTTAGGTTCTTAACTATTATGCTACATTGTATCCCATCTATATAGACCTAATAGTGTAATTTGTCAGGCCCCATCTGCCTGAAAGTACAAAATCAAATGCCAATTCATTTTCCCTTTCTAACCCCAAATACCTCCCTCTGTCCCTACACCCTCTACAAACACCCTAGCATCACAGTATCAGAGATGCACCTTCTACTCTAAAACCCATCTTTTCATCATATTTTCTGCTGAATGACCTCACCAGTTCCTTCATTTGTTGATTAATTAATTTATTCAACAAATATCAAGTGCCTTCCTTATGCCAGGTACTTGCTAAGCACCAGCAAAAACAGAACAGGACAGACAAGGTCTCTTCCTACTGTGAATTTTATAGTGGAGGAAACAAAAGAAAAATGTATATAAATATATATATATTTTTTTTAATATTTTATTTATTTGACAGAGAGAGACACAGCGACAGAGGGAACACAAGCAGGGGGAGTGGGAGAGGGAGAAGCAGGCTTCCCGCGGAGCAGGGAGCCTGATGCGGGGCTCGATCCCAGGACTCTGAGATCATGACCTGAGCCGAAGGCAGACGCTTAACGACTGAGCCACCCAGGCGCCCCTATAAATATATATTTTTAAGTTTAAAATTTGGTCAGTGCTATTGAAGTATTGGTACTGAGACAGAGAATAGCAAGTAAGAGCCTGATTTGGTTAGGATGGTCAGGACAAGAGGTGACATTTAAGTTGTGATCCAAAGGATGAGAAAGCTGCTATACAGAGAGAGAAAATGGGAAGAAGAAGGGCTCTAGCCAAAGGGAACAGCACCTACAAAATGCAGAGGCAGGAATGAGCTTGCTATAATGAGCAAGGCAGAATGGCAAGAGATAAGATTGGAGAAGTAGAGGGGGCCAGAGCAATAAGTCTTGTAAGGCATTGTAAGGAGTTAGGCCTTGGGAAGCAGTTGAAGAGTTGTAAAGAAGGGAGTAATTTGATCCAATTCATGCTTTAAGATGAATGCATGTTAAAAAAAATCCAGGGGGGCACCTGGATGGCTCAGTTGGTTAAGTGTCTGCCTTCGACTCAGGTCATGATACCAGGGGCTCCCTGCTCAGTGGGGAGTCTGCTTCTCCCTCCCTCTGCCTCTTCCCTAGCTTGTGTGTGCTCTTGCTCTCTCTCTCACTCACTCTCTCAAATAAATAAATAAAATCTTTAAAGAAAATTAAAAAATCTGGGGTGCCTGGCTGGCTCAGTGGGTGGAGCATGCAACTCTTGATCTTGGGGTGGTGACTTTGAGCCCCATGTTGGGCCTAAAGCTTACTTAAAAAAAAAAAAAAATCCAACAGCTGTGATAATAATTGATTGCAGGGAGAAGAACGGAGTTGTTGCAGTAAACCAGGCCAGCGATGCCAGTAATCTGCAGTGAGGTTGTTATAGTGGAAATAAAAGTAATCCAAGTTAAAATTCTGGACTTTGATATCTCCTTTATTTTTGCTACTAACATGCCATCAATCATGACATCTTATAGGTTCCAATGTTTATAGTTTCTCACACACAACTCCGTATTTCCCTGTTCCCAACCCAGGCCTATGTTACCATTCACCTACATGACTGGAGCAGCTTCATTTCTGATCTTGATTTTCAGTCAAGCTGTTCCAATACAACCCACACACTGTGGCCAGAGCAAACTTTCAAAAACTACACTGAACATGTTCCGGCTCTACTTGAAACCTTCAAGAGGCTCTATAGTTTAGGAGCCAAGGTCCCCAGCAGTCCAGCCCAAACCTACCCAGTCAAATCATAATACTTGTATGGTGCTTTTCCCATCTCTCTCCCTTTGTGTGTATTATTCTCTCTTATACCATCCCTACTGGATATTAATCCCCATTTTACCTACACAGGAACTCTAAGTGGCTAGTGATATTAGAAGCATACCCTGTGGGGGCGCCTGTGTGGCTCAGTCGTTAAGCATCTGCCTTCAGCTCAGGTCATGATCCCAGGGTCCTGGGATTGAGCCCTGCATCGGGCTCCCTGCTCTGCCGAGAAGCCTGCTTCTCCCTCTCCCACTCCCCCTGCTTATATTCCCTCTCTCACTGTGTCTCTGTTAAATAAATAAATAAAATCTTAAAAAAAAAAAAAAAGAAGCATAGTCTGTGGCTAGAGGTTGTCCTCTTATCTATTATATTTTAGTAAAAATGCACCCATTAAAATTCAGAATTTAGAATACTTAATTACATGGTAAAGCATCTATAACAAATGTTTTGAATTTTAAATGTTTTATAAAACCATGTATAGTATGATTATAATCTAATAAAAGTGGTTTATCTGTAAGGTGAGACTGGGGGTGATTTTTGTTTGCATGAGGTATTTTTCTGGATTTCCCAAACTTTTTACAGTTAATATGTATTACTTTTATAACAACAATCACCAAAAAAAATGGGGGGAAATATGCTATGTAGCCTTTAAGACTCTCCTCAAACACTGGCATCACCGGCCTCTTTGCTCCCTCACCACCACCACCATCATTTTGTACATTATTATCCTCTCTTCCCCTACCTTCTTTGAGAGTTAGGTGTGACTTAACACATTTCCCTGACCAACTGAAAGGTCCTTGAGTAAAGACGCTATGTCTTGCTTATTGTCACAACCCTCCATTCCTAGCCATTTTACAATTTGTTGCTGAAGCCAGGAGTTTAGATTTTTTAAGGCTGACTAAAATGCCAGCAATATCAGGAAAAAAAAGGCTATCCAGGATAAGAGCTATAATTTTGAGGAGTCCAGTGAAGTAGTCCTTTGACTACTTAAAAGCGATGGTTAAACCTGTTAACCTCAGGGGTGCCTGGGTGGTTCAGTGGGTTGAGCATCAGACTCTTGATTTCAGGGTCATGGGATCAAGCCCCATGTTGGGCTGCGCACTGGAGCATGGCACCTGCTTGGAATTCTCCCTCTCCTTCTCCCTTTGCCCCTCCCCGCTTGCATGCTCCCTTTGTCTCTCTACAACTTAAAAAAAAAAATTTTTTTTTAAACCTGTTAACCTTAAAAATAAAACCGTTATTTTGCTAGGAAAAAAAAAGGTCTATTCTGAAATAGCAGAGAATTGCATTTCCAGACACACAAGCTAGGGCTCTGCAAGTCTAGAGAACAAAGGTGAGGACCACTCTTTATAGAGGAATACCTAAGTTGAGAGGCCTTTGTTATAAACAAAACACCCATTGGAATAAACTGGAAGTTCTAAGTGTAGTGGCTTTTCACTGGCTGAGTTGTGACAGTCTCTCATTGGCTGGGCTGCTGCTGGATGAAGAAATTCTTTCCTCCTGCTATGGTAGTAAAATAGTCTTTTTCCTATGGGGAATGCAAGGTAAGTCTATTCCTGTTGGGGTCTGCAATGAAGGAAGAGTGGTAGGGTATAAGAGCTCCCACTTCTGGCTCCTGACTCCATTTTACTATATATATATGTAAATTCTACACCCAACATTGGGCTCCAACTCATGATCCCAAGAACAAGAGTCCCATCCTCCACGGACTGAGCCAGCCAGGCACCCCTCCTGACTCCATTTTAAATGAGATTTCCTTTTATTAATTTTAAGAAACCAAACTGGATTCAAGAGTAGGTAAGTGGGAAAGAGAGTAGAGGGGAACCCAGACTGGAAAAACAAGTTCCTCTAACTCAGATCAATGGACTCTAGTGAAATTCTTCAATCCCTTCAGGACAAAACTGTATCTAGGAGGGGTGCCTGGGTGGCTCAGTCGGTTAAGTGTCTGTCTTCCGTTCAGGTCATAATCTGGGATTGAGCCCCACATCAGGCTCCCTGCTTGTGCTGTCTCGCTCTCTCTCTGTCAAATAATAAAATCTTTTAAAAAGTACATAGGAGGGGCACCTGGGTGGCTCCTTCCGTGAGCAAAGGTTAAGCATCAGCCTTTGCCTCAGGTCATGATCCCAGAGTCCTGGGATCGAGTCCCACATTAGGCTCCTTGCTCTGCAGAGAGCCTCCTTCTCCCTCTGCCTGCCGCTCCCCCTGCTTGTGCTCTCTCTATCTGACAAATAAATACATAAAATATTTTTAAAAATACATAGGAGTCCTTCATGTATAAATGGATCACTTGCTCATATGTATTGAGCACCTGTTATATGCCAAACACTGAAAATAGGTTCAAGAGAAGAAAAGACAGATATGGTTCCTGACCTCAGGAGGCTTACAGAATGTCTACTGGGGGAGACTCTACACAAATAATCACATATTTACTTGGACAATTATAAGGTGACTTGAATCATAATAGGCTAATTGTACAGTTGCTGGGGAAACCCAAGTTTGGGAGGGAGTTTTGTTTATGTTTTGTTTTTTTAAAAATTTATTTATTTATTTGAGAGAGAGGGAGGGGTGAAGGGGATAGAGAGGGAGGGAGAGAATCTCAAGCAGACTCCCCACTAAGCATCGAACTCTATGTGGGGCTAGATCTCAAAACCCTGAGTTTCGTGTTTTTTTTAAGATTTTATTTATTTAACAGAGAGACACAGTGAGAGAGGGAACACAAGCAGGGGGAGTGGGAGAGGGAGAAGCGGGCTTCCCGCGGAGCAGGGAGCCCGATGTCGGGCTCGATCCCAGGACCGTGGGACCATGGCCGGAGCCGAACGCAGACACCCAATGACTGAGCCACCCAGGCACCCTCAAAACCCTGAGATTTTGACCTGAGCTAAAATCAAGAGTGGGAAGCTTAAAGGACTGAGCCGCCCAGGCACACCTGGGAGAGAGGTTTTGATGAAAGAGGGCTATCTGTGCTGAGACCTGAAGAGTGTATATGACATAGGGAGGTGGAGAGGAGAGGTTTAGAAAATTTGTTCTGGCAGAAGAAATGGCAAATATGAAGGGAAGACACATGGTCTAAGGTATTTTCTGAGGCTGCAGCAGAAAGAGGGAGATCCAGCAGAGCAAGTTATAGGTTTTTCTTCTATTAAATAATCCATTCTTTAACCCCCAAACAGCTCCTCTTTCTGTCCCTGTGACCTAGCAACCTGGCTTGAGAGCAATCTTGAGAGCATCACACTTCAATTCAAGGCACCCAAATATTCTTATTTAAACACATTTAAGGGGAGTGCCAGGGTGGCTCAGTTGGTTAAATATCTGCCTTTGGCCCAGGTCATGATCCCAGAGTCCTGGGATAGAGCCCCACATCAGGCTCTCTGCTTAGCAGGAAGCCTGCTTCTCCCTCTCCCACTCCCCCTGCTTGTGTTCCCTCTCTTGCTGTCTCTCTGTCAAATAAATAAATAATAAAAAATAAAAAATAAAGCTCAAAACCTAGCATCCAACCCATTATCTGGCACATAATTACGTTTTGTAAATTACTTATGAATTCAAGAAACAGGTATACTTTGAAGATATATTTTTTTAAATGCATTTTTAGGGGCGCCTGGGTGGCTCAGTCGTTAAGCGTCTGCCTTCTGCTCAGGTCATGATTCCAGGGTCCTGGGATCGAGCCCCGCTTTGGGCTCCCTACTCAGCTGGGAGCCTGCTTCTCCCTCTCCCACTCCCCCTGCTTGTGTTCCCTCTCTCGCTGTGTCTCTGTCAAATAAATAAAATCTTTAATAAAATAAAATAAATGCATTTTTAGGGCGCCTAGGTGGCTCAGTTGGTTAAGTGACTGCCTTCGGCTCAGGTCATGATTTTGGAGTCCCGGTATGAAGTCCCGCATTGGGCTCCCTGCTCTGCGGGGAGTCTGCTTCTCCCTCTGGCCCTCCCATGTGCTCTCTCTCTCTCTCAAATAAAATCTTTAAAAAAAAATAATAAAGTGCATTTTTAAAAACGGATGTCATAGATAATTTTCCCAAGCTACAGACTCGCGTTTCCTTCTCTGCCTAAGCTCTCGGGTCCCTGAAGCCCTTTCCCGCGGACGTGGGAAGACCAGGTTGCTGGAAGGCTGGCTGCAGCCCGCAAGCGCGCTCAGCCTGGAGTTTGGCGGCGGAACCGCGGGGAGGCGGAACTTTGGGCTTGTGGAACTGTGGCCCTGCGGACCGCCAGGAGGGAAGCACCCCTCCACCCCCCCACCCCGCCTCCCGGCCCGGAAGGAGCTGACGGGAGCTGGGACATCGGCAGCCATCGCGCTTTGCAGTTCGAAGTAGACGGGTGTAGGGCGGTCGCCAGGTGAGGAATTGCGCTCTCTCCATTCGCAGGTGAGTGGCGGTCTCTTCTCCCGGTAGGACCGGCAGGCGGCAGCTGTGGATCCCAGGGAAGGTGCACTTTTCGGGCCTGAGCCCACCGGGGCCCCTGCTTGTGACCAGGCGAGGAAGGGGTCCCTGTTTTCCTCTCTGGAGTCAGGCGGCACTAAGAGGAACGGGTTCCTTTTCTGCTCTGCGGTGGTCGCTGTTAGAGTCCTCTGGATAGTACACCTGCTGCTGCCAAACGGTGTCATTTCAGAAAAGAATGAGCTGACTATAAGGCGCAGATAAGCTCTTCCTTCCCCTCAGCCTCAGTTTCCTCACCTGATCAGGTGAAGGCGGCGGGGATCATTGACAGCTCAAGACCCTGTGACGCGGTGTTTTCAGTTCTCCCAATTAGTGTGGCGGCAAAGTGAGCTTCCTTACTAGTAGAAGTTAATGTTTGGCCATAGCCCAAGTCCCAGCTGAGTGGGAGAAAGGATAAACTGGTTGGATAAACTGAAATGATTTATAAATTGTTCCAAGATTTTTGAACAAATAAAAATTTGTTTTGACAACAGCTGAAACTCTGACCTCATTGGCCCAAAGAACCAAACTCATTAGGAACGTTAAGGTATTTGGTGCATTGGGCAAAACGAGGTGAGGGAATCCTTTTAACTTGAAAAATTAAGCCTAGTATTATTTGCATATTTACCTCTCAAGCTCAGTATTACCACGTGTCTTACTCTGAAGAATATCCTAAGTTCAGTGTTAAAATATCAGCTAAGGGTATGAAAGAAGGGGCGCCTGGGTGGCTCTGTCGGTTAAGCATCGGCCTTTGGCTCAGGTCATGATCCCAGGGTCCTGCTCAGCGCTTTTCCCTCTGCCTCTCCCCCTGGTTCGTGCGCGCTCTCTCTCTTAAATAAATAAATAAAATCTTAAAAAAAAAAAGGTATGAAAGAAAAGGAAATACTTACTGTCTCCTATGTGTGAGGTGCTAGCCATTCGCACAGCAATTCATTAAGGAAGGTAATGGTATCATCTCTATTTTACAGATGGGGAATAAGGGGAGACTTAAAATTTGTCAGTAATTAGTGTTGCTGACATAGCAAAGCAATGTGTGTATCTAATACTGTTTTGAGGATTTATATTCATTACCAAAATATTTGGAACTTTAAAAACTAATCTTATAGTTCAGTGGCATTTTCTGAGTTTGCAGAAAAGGAATGTTTTGACTTTATTTTAGAAATGTTAGAGAAGCGTTGTTAATAATTACAAAGATGAGCAGTTGAAAAAAGTACATTTTAACCATCCTTTCCTTGCACTTCAAGCAGGAATTGAGACAAAAGATTAGGCTATCAGAAATGAAAATCACTGCCACATCATTTAAAGTTTATAAATCAGAATTCTGTATAATGACTATTTCTCCACCCTCTTCTTTGAGTATACTTGGTTGATACTCATTTAAATGATTTCTCTGCAAAACATTACTAAGCAAACACCTTTAAAATCATGCATTTGAAAAATTCCTCTTGTAAGTGGTGAACCACTGAATTTTTCTCCTGAAACCAATATGCACTGTATGTTAACTAGAATTTAAATAAAAATTTGAAAAAAAAGAAAACTTTCTCTTTGTTGTGTGTAGCTTTTAAAACAATTTCAATTAAGAGTATTTTAAGGGGGAGGGGGGCGCCTGGGTGGCTCAGTCATTAAGCGTCTGCCTTCAGCTCAGGTCATGATCTCAGGGTCCTGGGATCGAGCCCCCCATCGGGCTCCCTGCTCAGCCGGGAGTCTGCTTCTCCTTCTCCCCCTGTTTGTGTTCCCTCTCTCACTGTGTCTCTCTCTGTCAAATAAATAAAATCTTTAAAAAAAAAATATTTTAAGGGGGCTTCTGGCTTGCTCAGTGGGGGAATGCCACTCTTGATCTTGGGGTCATGAGTTCAAGCCCCATGTTGGGCCTAGAGCTTTTTAAAAAAAAGTATTTTAAGGATTGAATTTGTCACTGCTTATATCAATTTTCAGTTTTGGGTTTTTTTTTTTTTTTTTTAGATTTTATTTATTTATTTGAGACAGAGACAGCGAGAGCAGGAACACAAGCAGGGGGAGTGGGAGAGGAAGAAGCAGGCTTCCTGCTGAGCAGGGAGCCCGCGATGTGGGACTCAATCCCAGGACCCTGGGATCATGACCTGAGCCGAAGGCAGACGCTTAAAGACTGAGCCACCCAGGCGCCCCTCGATTTTCATTTAATTCAGTATAGGCAAGTTCAGTACTCAGACTCACAACAACCTTATTCATAATATAGCATTCTTTCCCCCTTCTCTTACTCTTAAAAAAATCCTATTTATATTTGTCACAGATTTAACCTTTCAATCGAGTGTCATTTTTCCCTAAAGGAAACTTGAGTTTGTACTTTTGGTTGATTACATGAACCCAAAGGTCTAATCCCATTACTATGATTGCTATGCATTTAATCATAAAATATTTTTTTGAGTTTTGTATTTGCATCACTATTTGAAAACTTTAAAGGCTATAGAAAGAAAATCTAAGAATTTTAGGGGAGAATATAAAGTCAGCACTGTCTTGAAACATTTAACATTATTACTTTCCATCCTTGGTAATACACAGGGCCTTGCTGAAATTCTATAAAACATGGTCAAGCAGAGTTTGGTCTCATATTTCTAGTACTATTTGAATTTGAAAGAGAAGTGTGCATAATTTCTAAATGAGCATAATTTCTAAATCAGGTAGTTTACTGATCTTACGGAATTTATACACATTTTTATCATAAACCTGATGAAGATGGGTAGAAAATTATGATTAATCTTTTCTAGTAAATATCTTTACCTAGAGTTGAAGGAAACTATTCTAGTACCTTTTCTGGTGACGGTCAGTGACAGTGTTGTTAATACTTAAAGTAAAGACATTCATGGGACGCCTGGGTGGTTCAGTCGGTTGGGTGTCTTCAGCTCAGGTCATGATCCCAGGGTCCCAGGATCAAGTCCCACATCGGGCTCCCTGCTCCCTTTTCCCTCTTCCTCTGCTGCTCCCCCTGCTTGTGCCCTCTCTTTCTCTCTGATAAATAAATAAAATATTAATAAATAAAGACATTCATGAAAAATATCATTAAAAACTTCTTCATATTGGGGTGCCTGGATGGCTCAGTCGGTTAAGCGTCTGACTGTTGATTTCAGCTCAGGTTGTGAAATAGAGCCCCGAGTTGGGCTCAGCTCTGGGGATGGAGCCTGCTTAAGATTCTCTTTCTCCCTCTCCCCCTCCCTCTTTCTCTCTCTCCCCATCTCTCTCTAAAAAAAAATTTTTTCATATTAAAATACTGAAATCTTTCAGTATTTTTTTTTTTAAGATTTTATTTATTTGACAGAGAGAGACACAGAGAGAGACACAGTGAGAGAGGGAACACAAGCAGGGGGAGTGGGAGAGGGAGAAGCAGGCCTCCCGTGGAGCAGGGAGCCCGATGCGGGGCTTGATCCCAGGACCCTGGGATCATGACCTGAGCTGAAGGCAGACGCTTAACAACTGAGCCACCCAGGCGCCCCTTTCAATATTTTTTTTTTTAAGATTTATTTTATTTATTAGAGAGCACAATTGGGGTGGTGGGGGGAAGGGCAGAGGGAGAGGGAGAAGCAGGCCTCCCCACTGAGCAGGGAGCCTGATATGGGACTCGATCCCAGGACCCCGAGATCATGACCTGAGCCGAAGGCAGCCGCTTAACCGACTGAGCCACCCAGGCGTCCCCCCTTTCAATATTCTTGTTAATATTGAAGTTAACTTGAAAATTGGCATTTAGAGTTTGTGCTTTTGAGGAGGCACCTGGTTCAGTTGGTAGAGTGTACAACTCTTGATCTCAGGGTTGTGAGTTCAAACCCAATGCTGGGTGTGTAGAGATTACTTAAAAAATAAAATAAAATCATTAAAAATAAAGTTTGTGTTTTGAATTTCAGTTAATTTAGTTGGAATGAGTTAAGACCACTTTACGTTGTGTAGTATACAAAATATTTTCAGGTACATTATCATAATTAATCTTTTTTTTTTTAAGATTTTATTTGAGAAAGAGAGAACACGAAAAGGGGGAAGGGCAGAAGGAGAGGGAGAAGCAGGATCCCGCTGAGCAAGGAGCCTGCTGCAGGGCTCCATCCCAGGACCCTGTCTGGGAGCATGACCTGAGCCAAAGGCAGATGCCCAACTGACTGAGCCACCCAGGCGCCCCACATAATTAATCATTCTTAAAACTCTGTGAGGCAAATAGTATTCCTATTATAGGTAAGAAGAAATTGGAGCTTAGAAAGACTGGCTTTCCCAGAATGAAATAATAGTATTTAAAAGATGCATATTAAATCCTGATTTTTAAAATTCTAGGATAGGGGCACCTGGGTGGCTCAGTCGTTGAGCGTCTGCCTTCGGCTCAGGTCATGATCCCAGGGTCCTGGGATCGAGCCCCGAGGAAGCCTGCTTCTCCCTCTCCCACTCCTACTGCTTGTGTTCCCTCTCTTGCTGTGTCTCTGTCAAACAAACAAATAAATAAAATCTTTTTTAAATAAATAAATAAATAAAATTCTAGGATAGGTACTCAACTTTCACCATGGCTCTACCATCCTTTGCATCCCAAAGTTAATAATGTATTGTTTCTATAATGCTACTCTGGTGTTATATTTGCCTTTTTAGACCATTGGAACTTTTTATTTCTTTATTTTTTAATAATCGCTTTATTGAAATATAGTTCACATACCATAAAATTTATACTCTTAAAGTATACAATTCAGTGTTTTTAGTATAGTCACAGTGTTATGCAGCCATCACCACAATCTATTCCAGAACATTTTCATCACCCAAAAAGAAAGCCAGTACCTATTAGCAGTCACTCCCAGTTTCCCCTTACCTCCCTATCTGACACCACTAACTTACTCTGAGAACTTAATGTTCAGGACATTTCATGTAAATGGATGGAATCATTCATGTAAGTTTAATGGGAGAAGGCTTTAAGCAGTTATTTGTAATCTGAGCGGTTCTGCTCCATTCTA